TAGCTCAAGAGTTGGCGGTGGGTGGTGATGACTAGCTGCCTTCCCTCTAGTCTTGCACTGCTAAATTAGGGACGGCTAGTGCAGATAGCCCTCGTGTAGCTTTGCGCGAAATTCAAAACAAACAAAAAACTAGCAGATTGGTGGACACACTCACCGTGTGCCCCCCAGTAGCTCAGCGGTATGTCTGCGGACTTACAACGCTAGAATCCGGGTTTCGATACCTGTGGTGGGCAGAGCACAGATAGCCCATTGTGTAGCTTTGTGCTTAACTTCAAAAAACAAAAACAAAACAAACACTCACCGTGAATATTCCATAATACCAAGGTTCATTGAAATCTAACAAATAATAAATCGAACACTAGCTGACCAACCAAGTAGCATGGTAAAAAAAACATGCACCTATAACGACCTGTCACTAACTTTACTATAATGCTGTATAAGAATTAGTCTGATATGGCAGGAAATGGATGAAAAAAGTGCGAATTCCTGAAAGGCCTGAGGAGGATGGGATGGGGTGGTACTACCAATATAAGACTTATATGTGTTATGGTAAACTGTATAAAAAAAATCTACAAGGAATTTAGGTTTGGCAAACCTGGGCACGTGAAGTTTTAAACATTGTTCTTTATAACCTATGTTTATGTGCACAAACAACATTACCAGTACTTTAAATCCGTCGGAGGAGATAGAATTTTACAAGATTATATTTCTCTAAGTTACGAAATCACGCTTTTGCACGTTGTTATTGCTGGTTATTAAATCATGAAATGCGCAAGAACATGAAATAAGCATCACAGATAGTTATTCTTTATATTTCTCATAACGTTGACAACTATAAGAAAATGTCATGTGCATCACAGGGTAAATGGAATGGCACGTGTCACTACAAGTGGACGTCTGCTTTGCACGTGGCAAGGTACCTTTACGTTTCTAATGATTTTGCTCTAAAGACGGGAAAGGAAGCTAATCAATTTTTTACGGTACATTTATATTATCTTGAGCTAGTCCTCAGCTGAAGTTAGTGTGGGTGTGTCGAACTATTGATCGCTAAGCCTAAAATAAGAAACCAAGTTGTGACGTAATTCAAGATACGCTTGGTACAGCTTGTTCTGCTTTTCAACAAATGTCTGCAAAACTCAGATGTGTAATCCCTGTAAATATACTCTGGATACTCCTCACAAAATACCACGTAACTTTGAGAAGCTAAAATGGGAACCTTTCAAAACTTTCACTTAACAAAAAAAAGTGTATCTAACCAGTTGTGGCTTGAAAGAAGTAGTTAGCAGGAAAAATAACAACCTGGTCTGGTATAGCCTGGTGGTTAGGGCACTCGACTCGTAATCTAAGGGTCGTGGGTTCGAATCTCGTCCTTGAACCCTCGCCCTTTCAGCCGTGGGACGTTATAATGTTACGGTCAGATCCTGTTATTCGTTGGTACAGAGTAGCCCAAGAGTTGGTGGTAGATGATGTTGACTAGATACCTTATATTTAGCCAATCACTCCTAAATTAGGGGCGGCTAGCGCAGGTAGCCCTTGAATAGTGTGAAACTAAAAACGCAAATAAACTTATGGACAACCTACCTCGAGAACTTAGGCTAGAGACATTGTTGTAACACACTTATGCAAACCTACATCTGATCATTATTTTGATCAACCGGACAGCCAGATCCAAGCAAGATCAATGAAATATTATAGATGGTTAAATCTATATAAAGGATCAGATGGAATGGGAAACAGTATTCTATGTTGACTTGGTAGCACAGATACGTATAAAGAATTTTAGAAAATTGTGATCTCCAGATGTAAAATTGCGAGTACTAATAAGTCGTGTTTTATGGTGATTTAGCATCACAGCGATACATTAAGAACTGTAAATCAAGCATGCTCTGTAATGCCTTAGTATCAGAGACAGCTCAAAAATCATAAGAAAACGTAGTAGGTGGTGATGTGATACAAAAGAAGCTGATTAAAAATCATGTAAAATAGTGGTTTGTTATGACATGATACAAAAGAAAGTGATTAAGAATCATGTAAAACAATGGTGATGACATGATACAAAAGAAAGTGATTAAGAATCATGTAAAACAATGGTGATGACATGACACAAAAGAAAGTGATTAAAAATCATGTAAAATAGTGGTTTGTTATGACATGATACAAAAGAAGGTGATTAAGAATCATGTACAACAATGGTGATGACATGATACAAAAGAAAGTGATTAAGAATCATGTAAAATAGTGGTTTGTTATGACATGATACAAAAGAAACTGATAAAGAGGCACGAGAAACCATAGTCTATAGTTTGTCTATAAGGCACACATCGCAAGTTATAAGAAACATTTTTATGAATCTACATGGTACCACAGAGACATAATCCTGATCGGTTATGCTTGGTGTTGCAGAGTAATAAAACGTACAGTACTATTGTACACCACATGGCCATAAGACTTTGTGGTACCACAGACACAGATTTTGACTAATAAGCAGCTGTAATGCTTATGTAAAGGTTACTAAGAAATCAAGGTTTCCTGAGGTTTAGTACTACCAAGAAACACCAAGAGTTATAAAGAACAGTGACTGCTAATTTCCACAGAAATCGGGTAAGACTGAAAATAAATTCTAAATTGATTGATACAGAATATTCCTTTCGCCTGAAACTAGGAAAATTATAATATTCCGTTACTCGTCGAGTTAATTCATCGTGGAATGGTATATCAAGTTTCTTCACTGAGGATACTATTCTTGGAAAGATATTCCTTTCAGAGCAGGAACAGCTAATGACACTACGATCACAAACAACGAGTTTATACCACCTTTTCCAACAGTCAAAGCAGCAGAATTAGATGAAACAGATAAATGATGATTTGTTATAACGATTAGAGAAAGAACAAGGTTTTTAGATCTTTCGAAAGCATATCTGTTACAGGTTAACCGATAATCAAGAAAGTTATCTGATTTATTCCCGAACCGATTCTAATTAAGGCAAGTACAAGAAGTAGCTCCACCAAAATACCGCGTGCCCTAACTGTTATTATCATAACTCTCACGTGACACCGGCCCGAATTTGGTGTTAGGGGCTCTATTAGGTAATGAGATTTATCATGGGCGAAAGTCCACGAGACCGTGTAATAAAATGAAAACCCTTCTTAAACTCAGCGGCAAGAAACAAAGTCAGTAATTGAGTCATTATAAACTGATCGGATAACTAGCTTGTTGATCGATATGTGTAATTTTTATACTGGCCGCATTTGAATAAGCAGAAAGAACGTCTGATAGCGTCTTGGATGAATCGTTGGACAATTTGGCCATTTAACTTTTTTTTATTCTTTTAAAATGGGCGGCAATTGTTAGCGCGTTGTTCCCGTACGCTAATTTAGTACTGTAGTCTTTCATTAGAGCCTGTAGAATTGTAATGTCGTTTGTTAACTCAGCTGTATCAGAAAAATGTTTTTCTATTTACATAACCCAATAATAATTATTATTATTGACATAAAATATGTGTGAATTTTGCTGAGTTCTTCTTTGTAGCTAAAAATTGTAATCACTGTCTATGATATTTAGACTTTTTTTCATGTAAAATGAATTATAATTATTAGACGTTATGGCCAATTGTACATAATGATACGAAACAACAACAATTTCTATTTGACTTTGATCATAAGACACAACAATATCATATGATAGAAGAACAATTCCTATTCGGCTTTGCCCCATAAGACATAACAATATCATATGAAACAACAATTCCTATTCGTTTTTGCCCATAAAACGCAACAATATCATGTGAAACAACAATTCCTATTCGGCTTTGTCCATAAGACCCAACAATATCATATGAAAGAAGAACAATTCCTATTTGACTTTGTCCATAAGACACAACAATATCATATGAAAGAAGAACAATTCCTATTT